GCGCGCGCATGAGCTAGGTCGTGCTGTCTACTTTGCCTCCCTATTTCCACCCCCACCTCCAGGTCAGGAAAAGCTACAATAAGAGGCTCGTCTTAGTATTTATACTATAATGTGAAAGGGGACGTCTATTTTTCAAGGGATGTGTAGATACAGTGATAGAAAAATTTTTCATTCACCTCTGAGACTCTTCCTTCTATCATTTCTAATGGACATGTGTTTTACTGTAAGAGATAGTGTACTAAAATGATTATTGCTCGTGTTTTGTTGCCAGATCTCCAGGTCGCAAAGAGTATAAATATAGAACGTATATTGCAGAAGTGGAATGATGTTTCCAAATAGCACTGGAGCGCAGGACTTATGAGGAAACACAGCAGTGCCAGCTATGTCATACACGTGCCATACTAAAGATGACCTAAGAATGAACAAGCACTAATCTTTAGGTTTCCAAATGCCTAAGGACAGGAACTTTTGCCAAAATGTTTATACTTGTTTGACAAAGTTTAAGCATGTAAATAAAAAGGAAATAAACACTTGACACTCCTATTGAGGTTGGTGCTTGTCATTGCTTCCCTGATACACTACCAGAACACAATAGCATAACTTGGGGTGTGCCAGTCCCAGGCACTCACGCACAGGGGCACCAGAATGTTGCTTCCCTGCACAGTCTGTGGCACAGTTGGAGCAGCAAGAGCTGGGGTGTACAGACTGCTCTGCAGCAGCTGGGGTCTTTGAGTCCCTGGGGCATGTGACACTGCCCCTCCCCAGCATCCCTCTTCCCTCCCCCAGCCTCCATCTTTCCTCCCCTCCTCCCCTCCCATAAGGTTTGTCCAGACCTGGCCCCAACTCTGGCAGGGTTTAGCTAGTTACACCTCTGCCAGAACAGTATTCTCATGCCCGTTCCTCATTTTGGCAGCATCCCTTATATAAAAAAATAGTCACCAGTTGTCTATATGATCATGCCCAACAAAAGCCCCAGGGGTAATACTTTATAACTATTTCTAAAATGGCAGAATCCAAGATGGAATCCTGACATGACAAACCATCTTTTTTTTTTTTTTTGCTTTGTTTCACTAACACTGTCCTCAACAAAAAGGAGAGGTAGCCGTCCCTTCCATATCAACACATGGTACCTTCTATTTATAACAAGATTAACAATTCATTCACACCTTGATTGAATCCCACTTTATTGAGATGTCACAACAGATTCTCACAGCCTGCAAAGGGAAAGACTTACAAATGTTAATATTGTGACAACCAAGACACATAAAAGTAAATGAATCATAATTGGCAACAATTAGAAATAGCTCGGTATGAAAACAGAATACTGTGCACTGCTGTAAGTAAGGCGAAACAGTGTGAAGGACGCCTCTGAATGATCCTGTCCATAAATTCAGAAACGAAACCCTGATTCCACTGTAATGCATTCATTCATACATTACTGCTCAATTAATGTTCAAAAGGTTTTTATGTCTTGGTGGTAAATGTACCATTCTCTTAAAAATGTTTGCTCCACTAGTTCTGTAGTGGCACAGGGGTTACCAAGTCAAGCATTTTACTGAACGCACTCATTACACAAGCTCTCCCTTTATTTTTTCCCTTTCTTTATTTGTATGTATACGGGGTTTTAATATTATTATTAATATTGGTGAACTGTGAATGCTATACTAATAGACTCCCGGAGGAAGCTGGTAGTCCCTGGCCACCAACTCTGGTGTGCAGAACTTCTTCTGTGTGTGGAGCACAAAACATGACAAGGTCTCACTCATGTTTCAAAGCTCTCTCTCTTTTCAGAGCTATTTGTTATTGTCTCCACCATCACAAGTTTAAAAAAGGAAAGTTAATTAAATATGGAACAAGACTGAGCAACATCTTTTAAACCATCATGTCATTAGAACTGGATTCCTCTGAGAGCTGCTTAAAAGGGGTTTGAGAACAATGACTGTTCAATCAGATATTTATGGGCATAGTTATGTAAACACACTCTTTATTGTCTATGTATATTTAATATAATTATCAGTTTTGTACTTGGACTCTCAAGAGACCCAACAAATCACAGTGTTGCTTTGAAAATGTCAGCAGAAAAGACAATTATGTTGCTAGCAAATATTCATAAATTATATTAAAAAGTCCTGTGAAAATGTATCCTATGTTGCAGAACTCTTTTCACCAACAGAATAATTACTGTATTTCTTTGATTTAAACTCTTTTTGTAAGTAACAGGGAAGGTATTTGAAAACTCTCGAAGACAAAAGAGCTTACTATTCTTTCTTTACATGTAGGACAATATCCAGTCAGGTCAAATTAACAGATTTTAATAGAGTTTTGCTTTTAATATATTGTTTTGCTTTTCTTCTAGGTAGTGGAA